TATATATATATATATATATATATATATATATATATATATATATATATATATATATATATATATATATATATATATATATATATATATATATATATATATATATATATATATATATATATATATATATATATATATATATATATATATATATATATATATATATATATATATATATATATATATATATATATATATATATATATATATATATATATATATATATATATATATATATATATACAAATCTTTGCACATTGTCATTTACATTTGTTATGCTACACTCTCAGAAAAAAAAGTACACGGTGCTACAAATATTGTTCCTTAAGGAACAGTATTGTAATTTTGTAAAAGTTGTACCTTATATGGTACAGAAAAGTCCTCTTATGATACTGTTCTGTAGCTTTTATAAAATTGAAATGAAGGTACACAATTGTTCTTATAAAAAAGATACGTAAGTGTTGGGCAACACCTTTATTACAATATCTATGACAATAAATATTACTGGAAAGGCAAAGCGATTTTTATTTTCTATAATACAAAACAACTGATAAAACAAAACTGTAGGTATTGTAAACTAAAGATTTAAGGCACTTTTAATAAACATTTGGTAAGCATTTTCTGATAAACACATTTTCATTATTGATATCTGCATGCTTTGGCGTTTGCTTTCCACTACACACGTGAGCTGGCAAAAGTCCGGCATATGCAAAGTGTTCATGCAGACATTAAACTATTGTAAAAACTAATCAAACACTGTGCATATCTCATTACAATACTTTTGCATAATTCTATTTCTATTTAAGTACAATTAAGTAAGTTAAATTAACTTTTAAGTGATTACAAAGGTGCTGTGTGAAAATTTGAGAAGACAAATATTTAATATTGTACATGGGAGAATGTGCTTCGGTAACATTTTTGTGAAAAGTGTCATGAAATGTTTAGCAAAAAATAGATCTTTTGACACAAAAGAAACTTGTGTAAACTGAAACGTTGTTTAAAAATGTATTTGATGTTTTATATTTACTGAAAATAAATTGACGCATTTTGGATGAAGCAAAATGTCTTTAAATCATCCCTGAAGGAACACATTTGACACTGTTAAGGTACAAAGTGTCTTGCCACTGTAGTGTACATTCATGGTTAAGGTACAATATGGGATCAGCAGCTTTAAAAACCAATGGTAAATTTAGGTTTTACATGGTACAAATCATGTTCTTAAATGTACAAAATGCAATGGTACAAATTAGATTCTTTGTCTTAAGGTGCAATTCTGTTCCATAAAAAAGGTTTGTACCTTCTTTGATACAACATTGTACCATCATTTCTGAGAGTGTATGCACAATAGTTAATTAGTTTTTTTATCATGTTTTTAATTTACTGATAAACAAAGCAATATCTATCTATCTGTCTGTCTATCTATGTATCTATCTATCATCTCTATCATCTATCTATCTGTCTGTCTATCTATGTATTTATCTTGTAAAAAAATCCCTAAATATTATGCTCATTTATATTTATAACAGAAAACAGATGCTGATTTATTGTAATGCATGAATTTCTGATGACATGCTCTAAATATAATTTTATATTTAAAAGCAGAATAACCTATGTTTACAAATATCTGCACATTGTGAATTTAATATTTTCTAATTTTAAATTTATCCCCCCAATTTTATGCTAGGCATAATTTCTTAATCAAAAGAAAACTGTAATTAATCATTTAAATATGAGAGCAGAAATTGTTTTAACTTCAGAAAAAAGGGGAATAATGTGGTAAATTTCGTAACATATTAGTTTTATATCATGTTTTGAATTTACTGACAAACAAAACAATATATGTCTGTCTGCCTGCTTATCTATCTATCTATCTATCTATCTATCTATCTATCTATCTATCTATCTATCTATCTATCTATCTATCTATCTATCTATCTATCTAAAATGCTCACATTTTTTTAAATCTTATATTTATAACAGAAAACAGATGCTTATTTGTTGTAATGCATGTATTTCTTTATCATGCTATAAGTATAATTTCATATTTAAAAAGCAGAATAATCAACAAGATCTATTACTCATCTTTAAAATACATTTTATAATTGATATTTAAAAATAAAACAAAATACAGTGTTATCTATTGATCATGGTTGTAATAAATCTAATTGTCTGTCTCTCTGTATATATATATATATATATATAGAGAGAGAGAGAGAGAGAGAGAGAGAGAGAGAGAGAGAGCGAGAGAGAGACAGACAGATAGATAGAGAGATAGATATACAAATCTATGCATATTTCCAATTTAATATTTTCAAAAATATATATATATATATATATATATATATATATATATATATATATATATATATATATATATATATATATATATATATATATATATATATATATATATATATATATATATATATATATATATATATATATATATATATATATATATATATATATATATATATATATATATATATATATATATATATATATATATATATATATATATATATATATATATATATATATATATATATATATATATATATATATATATATATATATATATATATATATATATATATATATATATATATATATATAT